TCTAAAGAAGGCCAGGTACAAGAACTGCATTGTATTCCATTGGGTCAAAGAGCCAATAAAATATTTGTGTACCTTGGCTTTGGAGACAGATTCCATGTTGCTGGCCAAGTCATCAATCTCCATCTTCATCTCACTCTTCTCCTTCTCCAGCTTCTGCTTCACACGTTGCAGGTTGTCGATCTGCTCCCCCAGCTCAGCGGTGCTGTCCGCGTGCTTCTTGCGCAGGGCGGCAGCCGTGGCTTCGTGCTGCAGCGTGGCCTCTTCCAGGTCCCGCCGCATCTTCTGGAACTCTGCCTCACGCTTCTTGTTCATCTCCACCTGAGCTGCTGTGGCCCCTCCTGCTTCCTCCAGCCGCTCACTGATCTCCTCCAGCTCCCTGGACAGGTCAGCCCGATGCTTCTCTGCTTTAGCGCGAGAGGTTCGCTCTGCCTCAATTTCCTCCTCCAGCTCCTCAATGCGCGCCTGCAGAACAGGAGGGACCCTTCACACCCGTGCCCTCCTCCTGCCTGAGCTGAGCCTGAGCAAGGGAGGGGAAGGAACACAGACTTGCCTGCAGCTCCTTGATTTTCTTCTGAAGTTGCATGCCCAAGGCTTGTTCATCCTCAATCTTGCTTTGGATCTGGCTGATTTCAAAGTCTTTCCTTTGGACCAAGTGAACCGTGTTAGAGCTCAAAGGAAGAAGACAAGTGGTCCAGCCCAGTACTCAGGAGCCCCAGAGCCACACTTACTTCTTCAGTTTCTCATCCAGCTGCTGCTTATCATTCTCCAAATCCATGATGCTGTCCTGGGCCAGCTTCAGGTCTCCTTCCAGTTTCCTCTTTGCTCTCTCCAGGTCCATGCGCAGTTTCTTCTCTTGCTCCAGGGACCCTTCCAGCTGAACACAACAAGACCTTCAGTGCTCTACCAGCCAGCTCAGGCTCCATACCTGTCCTGTTCCTGCTCTGTGTCTGTGTGCTTACATCATCCACTTGCTGTTCCAGCTTGATCTTGGCTTTGGTCAGAGTATTGACTTTGTCCTCCTCTGCCTGCAGATCATCCAGGGTCTGCTGATGGGCCTCTTGGAGGGCTTTCTTCTCTTTGGTCAGCTTGGCGATGGTCTCATCCAGGGCTGCCATCTCCTCAGTCAGGTTTTTCACCTACAAATATAAGCATGTTTTAAAATCTGGAAGAAAATCTGTTCTCTGGTTTTGTGTTTCATTTATCTCTTGGATGTTCAAAGAACCCCAACTCAAGATTTTCCAAAGCCAGGATGTCTTTTGTTAAGTTGCCTTTTACTCTGAGACTCTGTAATGTCCTGACCCTTATGTGACTGCCAATGTGTGTACCTTGTTTTCTGTGGCGTGTTTTTCCTTCTCCACCTTGGCCAGTGTTAGCTCAAGGTCATCAATATCTTTCTTCAGCTCTGAACATTCATCCTCCAGTTTCCTCTTCTTGGCTGTCAGCTCAGCATTAATTTCTTCTTCTTCCTCAGCCCTTTCAGTCACCTCCTTGACTTTGGCTTCCAGCTGTATTTTGGTTTTGATGAGCTGGTCACACCTTTCCTCAGCATCAGCCAAAGCATCAGCTTCCTGGTGAGAAAATACAGAAAATATTATTTAATAGTGAAGGAACCAATATGATTGGTAAGATTTTCACAATTACTTTTGGGGAAAAAAGTATGTCTAATTACCTTAGAAACTACGAATCTTGAATAAGTTTTTAGTTTATTTTTTTCTTGTTGGACCTTTTACATCATTAATAGAGCTCTGTTTAGCTGAATTTCATTTCACCCTGTTTATTTTGAGTATATCAGAAAGTCACTTAGATTTAATTAATATTTTCTTTTTCTCCTTTAGAAAGTGGTTCTATATTATTATACACTAAATTCAAATTTATGTGGAAGTGTTGAGAAATGTAATTAACTCTACCACTGAGGAAATATTTGAAACTTCCATTAGTAGCTTTATACTCAGCCAATACTGTTAGTGAACAATAGAATAAGATTCTTTCCTTGAAACAGACGTTTTAACTCAAGAGCAATGCCAAAGTGTTTTTTATGGTTTTGGAAGGCAAAAAGACATTGGAGACAGACATATGGAGATGGTGCTTATGTTGTAAGTTGTAATGGGCATCTGTGTCTTCTGGGAGTAGTAGGTATGGGAGGTGAGGTGAGATCTGCTATGAGAAATGGTAATCAGTTCTTCATTTTGACAACTGAGTTAAGGAAGAGCAGTAGGTCAATCAAACAAGTCTCTGCTCCACTAGATACACTGCTGTGACTACAGTAAAGCTTTATGTCTCACGTAATGTCTCTCATATGGCTTTATGAACCCATATGGAAACATGTAGGTATGAAGACTAAAAACTCATACCTTTTAAACTCCAGCT